CGGGTCCCCTCGCTCCTCCCCGCACCGCCGCCCCCTCCGACCCCGCACTCACCGGCCCAGCTGGGGGTCAGGACCAGCGCCCCCGAGAGCAGCAGGAGGAGGGTGGGGGGCCTCAGGACCCGCATCCTTGGCGTCGAGGAAGGATCTGAGTCCGGACCCTTCCGCAGAGGAGTTATAACCGGGAGCCTCGGGGACGCTGATAGGCTGCGCTAGAAACCGCTCAGCCAATGGGAGTGAGAAGTGTGGCCGCGTCACGAGTCTCCAGGAAGGAGGCGCCGACACAGGTTGGGAGAGGAGAAGTGAAACCCAGGCGCTGGGGAGTCCCCCACACGGAGCTGCACCCCCAGACTCTGTCCCCTGCGGAGCCCTGAGCGCAGGCCTGGGCCCTGGGACTCGGTCCTGACCCTCCTCCTGCGCGGGGCGCCCGTCACACTGTCCCCGAGGCCTGGCCCAGGCGCTGTGCTGTTCAGGGACTTTCCAAGATGGTGGTGTCACCATCTCTGTGCGGCCTCACACACAGGCAGGTGCCCAGATAATCTGTGTATGTGGTGATGTCATCATAGTGACCACTCATGGAATCAAACAGGTTTTAACAATTATTTTTTAAAATATTTTTTTATTGATTTCAAATAGGAAGAAAGAGAGAGAGAGAAACATCAATGCCGTGAGAGAATCATGGATCAGCTGCCTCCTGCACACCTCCTACTGGGAATTGAGACCACATCCCGTGCATGTTCCCTTGACCTGAATCAAACCCCGGACCCTACAGTCTGCAGACCTATGCTCCAACCATGGAGACAAACCAGCTAGGGTTCTATTTTTTTCTTTAAAGTAAACATGGGATCCCATGTGAAAGAGGCTAGCTCAGCTCACACACATGATCTCCCTGGTACATGATACTTGTGAATGTGGTGGAAGGGTTTTTAGTGTACTTCCCAGGTCATCATATAAGGTTTTTTTAATCCTCCTTTTTTATTATACACAGTTAAGAATTTAATGCATTTATGTAATGAATGCAAATACATATATCTTCTTTTTATAAATATTTTTACTTTTTTAAATATAGTTGATGTACAATATTGTATTAGTTTAGGTGTACAAGTCTGTGGTTAGACATTCATATAACTTATACAGTGATCACCCCATACATCTAGTACCATGTGACCTCACATGTAATTGTTATAACATGATTGACTGTGTTCCCTGTGCTGTCCTTTCCCTCCCCATGACCACACTGTAAGGACCATGTTGTGTTTCCTCCTCCTTCACCTGCTGTGCCCAGTCCCTCCCCTGCCCTCCGGCAGCCAGCAGTCTGCTCTCTGTGGCTGAGTCTGTGGCTGCTGTAGGATCCTGTTGGGCGGGTTCCAGGCGGCTCTGATGCTGGTTGTGGGGAGGATGGTGGTCATTGTTCTGTGGTTGTGGGTGATGCAGGCACCACGTTCACCTTTGTGGCATCTCCACCGGAGGCCACGATGTTTTAAAAATGTGGATGGAAGGATGAGGCTTCAGTAAAGAGATTAATTTCACTTCCTTCCACCGTGTCCTTTAAAACCAAAACTGGTTTTCTCCTCTGTCTGTCTGTCTTCTCTCTGCAGGTCAGTGCTGGGAAGAGGAACGGCTATGGAGGTCGGGTGTCAGCCCGTTCGTGCTGAGCTTGGCCTCAGCGCCCATGTCAGTGGAGTGAAAAGGCGAGGATGTCCTCCATCTCCTGTAACAGTGTTGACCCCCCACCTCCCGGGAAAGGCTCTCAGATACTTCAGGGTTCCACAGACCACACTTTGAGAAAGCTGATTCTGGATAAACCAGGGGGTGTCTCCCACCCTACCCCTGACTTGGCCTCCTCTTCTCATCGCAGAATCCCTCCCCATAAGGCTGAATCCCTGCGCCAGAAACTGAGCTCACAGCATTGCCCCTGGGACCTTCTAGAAGAGAGCTCACCCTGGATATTCTATGCCAGAAAGTGTCCTCAGCCTGGGAGGGAGGTGGAGGGGCAGGTGTTTCCCCTTCAGAACTCGGAACAGTTTGTGGTTGAAGACACCAGTCCCACAGAAAACGTACTGCGGTTTCTATACCTCAGCTGAGTATGTTCTCACACCCCAGACAGAAACCTGATGTGTCTGTAAGAGAAGCCATCTTGGCCCTTTTATGCAAATGGGCTGAGTGCTCTCACTTGAGGCCCAGACAACGTGCAGAGCAGTCTGCCCATTAGAACATTCTGTGAGCGAGGACTCACTCTGCGTCGGTTTCTCCCACGTGGCAGCCACCAACTGCTGTGGCCACTGAGCCCTTGACACGTGGGTCCTGTGCCGAGCAGGGGGACTTGCATGTCATGGACCTTTAATTCAGCCGCCATGGGGGTCGTGGAGCTGCCACATGAGACAGCGCC